TGGCCACACGACATGGAACAAAAATATGTATGACAATTGTCACACAACATAGAACAAAGATATGTACATCATAATGGTCATACAAGATGGAACAAAGATATGTTCATCATAATGGTCATACAAGATGGAACAAAGATATGTACATCAAAATGGTCACACAAGATAGAACAAAGGTATGTATGTCATAATGGCCACACAACATGAAACAAATTTTGAATGCCATAATGGTCACACACGATGGAACAAAGATATGTATGTCATAATTGTCACATAACATAGGAAAAAGATATGTATGTCATAATGGTCACACATGATGGAACAATGATTTGTATGTTATAGATGTCACATAACATGGAACAAAGATATGTATGTCATAATTGTAACACAACATGAAACAAATTATGAATGCCATAATGGTCACACACGATGGAACAAAGATATGTATGTTATAATTGTCACATAACATGGGAAAAAGATATGTATGTCATAATGGTCACACACGATGGAACAAAGATATGTATGTCATAATTGTCACATAACATGGAACAAAAATATGTATGACATAAATGTCACTTACGTGGAACAAAGATATGTATGTTATAAATGTCACACAACATGGAACAAAGATGTGTATGTCATAATAGGCACACTCTGTGGAACAAAGATATGTATGTCATAATTGTCACATAACATGGGAAAAATATATGAATGTCATAATTGTCACACAATTTGGAACAAATTTTTTTATGTTATAAAAGTCACCCAACATGGAACAAAGATATGTATGTTATAAATGTCACACAACATGGAACAAAGATATGTATTTTATCAATGTCGCACAACATGGAACAAAGATTTGTATGTTATAAATGTCACACAACATGGAACAAAGATATGTATGTTATAAATGTCACACAACTTGGAACAAAGATATGTATGTCATAATAGGTACACAAGATGGAACACAGATTTGTATGTCATAATTGTCACATAACATGGGAAAATGATAGGTATGTCATAATTGTCACATAAAATGGGAAAAAGATATGTATGTCATAATTGTTACACAACATGGAACAAAGATTTGTATGTCATAAAAGGCACACAATTTGGAACAAAGATATGGTTTTTCTAATTGTAACACAAGATGGAACAAAGATTTGTATGTCATAATGGCCACTCAACATAGATTTAAAATATGTATGACATAATTGTCACACAACATGGAACAAAGATTGGTATGTTATAAATGTCACACAACATGGAACAAAGATTTGTAAGTCATAATAGCCACAAAACATCGAACAAAGATATGTACATTCGAACCTTGTTATCTCGAAGTTGACAGGGTCGTGGGAAAACTTCGAGTTATCCGAGTATTCGAGTTATGCAGGTTCGTACTTTCGTTTTTAAACGCGATCAAAACGTTTGGACCATTTTGTTTGTTCGTTATTAAATATGGACGGGCCTAGTGATTAAATGTTGTTTTTGGCTAGTATAGATCTTGGCAAATATTTCCAGGTCTGCCTTTGTATTTTTAAGTCCGTCAAGTTTTACTTCTGAAGTGTTACATTTCAAACCGAAGTATCCCGCTGTCTCTGATCTCGTAGTTTATGATGCGGAAATGAAAGTGCGCAAGTCTAAATTAAATCACTGTAATGGAGCANTGATTCATTAAAGCCAAATATGACACCTGACACCTCCTCAACTCGATGTAATCAACAGCAATTATCGTTTTGTTCTTAAATCTCTCGATCGACTTTCAAAGCCATACTGGCTCCTGTAAAAACATGAACCCGTAAAGCTGTCCTAGGTTGTGATTTTAACTGTGGAACTCTTTTATGCATGACCACGCTTTGTGACCAATTTTCCGGTTTGCACTGTCGTCTGTTTAGGTGTACAAATCATTAAACGGACTCGCAGTAAGTACATGTACAGATTACTGTTGATCAACATTGATGCAGTTTGTTTTTTATTATGAATAACATGGTTTTGACAGTCCTAAGCTTTATTGTAAATTCTTTTTTACTGATTTCATGCTAGTCTACTTACGAAAGATGTTCATAAACACGGAATGGCGTAATGTCTTACTTTTGTGTTTTATTTGTATCAAAGAATTAACAAGTGACAAATTGAAATTTGAATACTATGTTGGATTAACGCTATTGAAACCAATATTTTACTTTGAGGTATCCGAGTTTTTCGACTTTTCAGGGTTCGAATTATCAGAGTTTTATATACTAAGATAAAGAACAGATTTGACCAGGACCAGAGAAATACTTCGAGATAAACAGGGTCTTCAAGTTAAAAGAGTTCGAGATAACGAGGTTCGACTGGATGTCAAAATAGGCACACAATTTGGAACAAAGATATGTATGTAATAATTGTAACACAACATGAAACAAAGATTTGTATGTCATAATTGTCACATAAAATGGGAAAAAGATATGTATGTCATAATTGTCACACAAGATGGAACAAAGATTTTTATGTCATAATTGTTGCATAACATGGGAAAAAGATATGTATGTCATAATTGTCACACAACATGGAACAAAGATATGTATGTCATAATTGTAGCACAAGATGGAACAAATATTTTATGTCATAATTGTCACATAACATAATAAAAAAACAAGATGGAACAAAGATATGCTTTATATCTTGTGTACAAGTTTGTAGCTAAAAATGCAGCTTAAGACCAAGTTACTCCAGAAAGGATAATAGAACTCAGATATGAAGGATATGAAGTTATGAACATTTATTACAGGGATCAGATAAACAAGAACTTAAAACATGAAATGTATCCTCTATGAAGTATGGTATATAAGAAACAACATGATTCTTAAAATGAGTATTAAAAACATAGATCAAGAATACCAACTAACTATTGTACATGTACATTCAACAGGTGTAACAAAATAATCATGACATAATAACACAAATGTTACAAAATAATTTTGGCCCTTGGGAATTATTTCGCAGCTGCTTCTGTATGGACTTGTGGAGTAGAGTAGGTCTGTCCATGTTAGTAAAAAGACATATAAAATTATAAAACAGACCTTCCACGATCAACCGACTAGAACAGGGATGTTCTACGAAATAAGGGGATGGCACCACTGCCTAGAACAGGGATGTTCTAGTGTAGGAGAACAGGGATGTTCTATATCTAACAAGGTTGAGTGGTGCCATCTGCAACCAGTGTGGTTACCATATAGGTCGATTGATAGTAGAGTATAATGTACTGATACACTTATTTAAAACTTGAATTCTATTACATGTTTTAGAATGAATATTATGACCTTGGCAAACCCAAGGATTTTTCCCCTTTTAATAAAAGGGGTTAAAAAATTTGAAGTGTGAGTCCAAAAGAAAATTTTGGTGCGAAAAGTTTAGAGAGTGAAGCAGCTGAATTTGATCCCCAAGGTACATAATAAAAGATGGATATATATACAATTAGTAGATGTGTAACTGTATATAGGTTGTTTGGTTAAGAGGTGGCGATAGCGACCACAGGAGTGTAATATACGTCGGGTATAACACAAAAGTCAGTAGATATAGAAAATGTATCGAGTGACACATATACTATATATACTAGATAGCTAGTTCAATTCTTCATCCAGCAGTGTACCTGGATAGCAGTAGCCTGAACACCATTGTATTAGTTACAATATTTAAGCGTACATTGTAGTATAGATATACATATAACTAAATACATTCATGATACTCTTAAACAGGCTCTCGCCTATCACGTACATACAGTATATAACATATTCTAGATTCAGCACACACATGTCATATTGCATGTACTTAGTGTCTTATATATAGCATATGTTTAGACACTGTTAAGAGAATGTCTTGAAGGAGGTCTGTGGTAAATACCAGATTAACTTATCTAGCAACCAGTCACTAGGATGTTGGATCATGGATCAGTAGCTGTCTCTGTCCTTTCGCGATACTTAAACTTTGAGTTCTTATATATCGACAGTAACAGTCGGAGCTCCACCTCCCTAATGTCTTTATAAGGTGGTCTTCCACACCTGCTGCACCTGCACTAGTGGCAGAACCTATCCGGAAAGAATGTCCATTGTACTTGAGTGGGTCGTATCCACAAATGGCTAACACTTGTCTACAATACTGAATAAACTGTGCTCTGTCCAAAGCAGTATTACTGTCTGTGATGAACATCGGTTGTGATGGTAGAACAGGTCGGGATTTCCCATGTCGTAGTGCAAGATATTCCTTCAAGATCTTCACCGGGCACAAGTCCTGTGGCATTCTGTGGAGTTGAATTGTAATGCCTTTGCGGAAAGGGTCGGTTTTTGATTCTTTCAGGGTTAACGTACACATGTTGTCGTAAGTTGTGATATCCCCTACGCACAGGTGTCTGGATGAGTCAAACGCAGCAGTAAATTCTCGACAACGCAGGAAGCCAAAGTAGGCTATAGTACACGCACATTCTAACATGACATCAGTGAATGGAGAGAACACACCGCGCCTCAAAAAAGCACACATCTTGTGGAGAATATCTCCTGTAATTGGTAGGCGAGTTGTAGTGTTTGATCCTTGATCTCGTTTGATGGACTTGAGGATAAGAGCCAAGCGAGGAAGGGGTTTAGATTCTAGGCTGTCCAAAGGAGACGGAACATTCTGCTGAAGGTACTTAAAGCGGATACCGTTGAGGTATAGTTTAATAGTGGAATGTTGAAGGTTTAAGAATTTAAAGAAGTGTGTCACGAAGTAGATAAGAATATCCTCTGAGATGGGTGGGAGGCCTGTTGTAGGGTTGCATAGGATGTTATTAAGTGCCATGAACTTCCCAAAGTGATCATACCCTGTATGATAGGCTGTACGTGTAGTTGATGCTATGGCCCCTGACAAAAGGTTCTTAACTGTAGAGTTTAACTCCAGATGACTTCGGAGTACGGCGGGCACTGGTGGGGCTTGGGATCCGCTTGTGTTGCCAGGTTTCTGAACCGTTGTATCTGTAAACGAGAAAGAGAATCACTAATAGAGTTACATTTCCCTGGAACATGAAATCGGAAATTAAAGTTATGTATACAAGCACACCTGGTCAATTTCCGCATAAGCTCCATGATGTAAAGGCATTTTGAACGTCCTTTATTCACAATAGCTACTGTAGCTTCATTATCGCACCAGAAAACTATCTGTTGTTTCGCCCATTGACTCCCCCACAAGATAGCTGCCACTACGATGGGATATAGTTCTTTATAAGCGATACACAATGATTTTTCCTTTACTTCAGGGATGTCTAATGGCCATGGAGATGAGAACCATTTGCCTCTGAAATATCCACCGAAACCTATAGTAGCAGATGCATCAGTATACATATCAAGTTCATGACTCGATATGAGGTGGGGGTTGTAGAACAAATTCACACAGTTCCATTGCTGTAGGAAAGTCAGCCAAAACCTAAGATCGGTACGACTCTCTTTAGTGAGGCAAACAAAGTCGTGTAGTCCTCGAACAGTTGTGGAAAGATTTATCAAGTATGAAACGAACGAGTGTCCTGGTAAAATGATGCGCGATGCAAAGTTCACCCCTGCGAAACTTTGTTCTGGAATCTAGAACAGTTCTGGAACTGTTCTGGAACATCTCACACAGTTCTAGAACTGTTCCGTAACTGTTCCAAACTAAAGTTCTAGAAATTTTGTACTAGAACTGTTCTAGAACATTTTTCAGGAACAGTTCTAGAACAGTTTCAGAACTTAAAATGTTCTACATATGTTCTACAAATGTTCCTATATATTTTTGTGGAACAGTTCTAGAACAGTTTCAGAACATCATGTGTTCTAAAACTGTTCTAAATCTGGAACTGCAGTTCCTCGGAAAACATTTAATAAAGAAAGTTGGTGTTCCAGAACTGTTCCTGATCATCTCGGATGTTTCTGAAAGCATGCTTTATATGCAGACTAAAAACAATAAAAAAATACATCACACATAGATTGGAATAACATCTGGAAATGTTTTAATTTGCCGAAAAATTTACATCCAGCAGTTTAAAAGATCATTAAATTGATAGTACGATTAGTTGAATTAGATCTGATCTGAAGTTATGACATCACAATCAATCTTGGCAGTAAAATTTAAAATGTCTCCACGATTCCCTGTGTTTATGGAAAACACCAACAACTTATTTGACCAAGATACTTACATTGTATACTGTTTTGTATACGTATCACACCATACTTGTGTGCTCAGTTAGGAATGTTAAATATGGTATTTCTTTTACTCTTGTTAGTTATATATCAAAAGTTTCAAAAAACCAAAAATTGGATGTTTGGACAAATCATTCACTTAAATACAGCATGTCCATAGCCATTAGGCATCTGTACTACATATTTGGTGTTTGCAGCATCTCTGTTGGAACTTGTATCTAAATATACCACGATTTCTTGAAGTGATTCAACATCTATCAATGCCAGGGTTCTTGTATGCCGCACAGCAATATAATGGCTTACCACTCGAGCTCCTTGGATCTGTGAGGAAGGTATCTTTTCCATCTTAGCAATAACAGCATACACAATGTTGTTACATAAAATGAAGTATTTTATCACACCAATTTCAATCCTTTGGAAAAGAACCACACTACATATTCTTTTCTTCATTCGGCTGTACTCTTCAGAAAAGAATCTTTTCTCATTCACAACTATCCTGTTGATTTTCTTCAGGTCACCGACATTCTGTATGCTACCTTGTACACTGATTAACCGTTGCCTTGGTTCATTTTCCATGTCATCAAGCGTCATTGGTTTAGCTGCTCCTGCAACATCGCCGTTTGAAGCTTTCCATGTAATTTTCCATCCATCTCTGTTTTTCAGGTCCAGTCCTTTTCTTCTGATACATGATTGTGCCTGCCTATGCTTTATAACTTGTTTCAAAACTAATCCAGTACCATGGACAGCTTGAGGGAGCATCGAGTTGGCATCCTCAAATAAGAAGCAACTCCAAGCCCAGACAGGTCCCCAAAGCTTAACATATTCTGGAAGATGCAAGCCAGTATTGTGAACATTGAGCCCACAGGAGCTAACTCCATACAGTCTTTGAAAAGATGAATAAAACTGGTCCAAAAGATCGATAGCATTCGCAAGGGATTCTTGTGTGATGTTGTCTCCAAGAAGAATATGAATTCCTTCTGATAGGCATGACAGATTTTCCAAATATTCTTCCTTTAATAAACCTTTTACACACGGAAAGGCATAATACAACAGCCAAGACTGTAGTTCTGTTGCCTTTAAATGACGATAATGTTTCTCCAAGTCACGGGGCAATCGTTCTATGCTCTCTGGAGGTTGAAGGTTTTTCATCCTCCCTGAGATTTCATTTAGACGATTTCCAATGAAATACTCTTGATGATTTTGTGAAGGAGAAAACCACTTGGTCATCAAAGATTTTGTTACGCCAAGGAGGACACCGTGCATATAATCTGGCACTGTTCCTTTAACAATGTTGTATTTTTGGAGATAGGAAAGTCCAGAAATCCCTTTAAATCCTGCAGAGCGATTTCTATTTGTCCCCGACTCCATGTGTTGCAATGTAGATTCATGAGTTCTACTTTGGCATCTGGTCCCTTGTAGCTTGTATGGGAAACATCGAGCAGTACCTCTGCCTTGTCGTACTGTGATTCCAGGTTCCTCACATGAGATACAAGGGTTGGGGCCATTGAAGTAGGACATGTTCAAAAGCTCTGCTTTTGCAGGTAAATCTGCAATTCCACATACAACTGAAAGTTTCACTGTATACGCTTTCCCTTCAAATTCAATACTAACACCGTCAGTGTACAAGGGATTCATAAATTTGCTAAAGACTTGAACAAATTCCTGAAATGGTGGCTTTCCCTTGCCTTGCCATAATCCTACTAGAAGTATGTTGTCGCGTGAAAATCTCTTTTGAGGGCTGAGTTCGTTGATGGCTAAAAAAAATTGACCATAGTTCTATTTTGGAGGAAGAATAAAGACTTACACCATCTGTATTGAAAACAGCTATCACATTATATTTCATTTTGCTGAGAAAACCATCATCACTCATCATAGCTCGATATGCTGATCCATCCAAAATATCAGTAATAATATTTGATCCATCCTCAAACCTTTCAAAGGCCTGTTTTTTTTGTGTCCTGAATGTCCATCCAAAAACCTGCGAAACAAAGGATTATATTATGAAAATGCAATTTGCAATGTCACATTACATAACTCTTTCCAAGACAAGAGACCTGCTGGCCTTGGCGGTCATCTGACTTTATGCATACCAGCAAGCTTCAATATTCAATTTTATAACCTTGGCCTTTGAACTGTCTAACATAGATACTTGGTAATATGAGAAGTAATCATAAGGTCAAAAGAAAACATGTCTGTTTAGGGTTATATTTACATGAGCAAACGAGATCCCATATGGATCTTGGCGCCCACCATCAAATGATCTTTATTGGATCTATGTAAGACTTATCTTTTCTCTACTTTTCTCATGATCAGCTTTCCTCTCTTTTTCTAAAATATTTTGAAATGGGGGAACCTACAAAAGTAATCTAAGATCAATCAATAACTTTCTGAGAAATAGCAATAACAAACTTCAAATAAACTAATATCCAAGTTGGCCAACTACCAGCCATTTTTGTTTTTCAGGTCAGTCTTAAAATTAAATGAGCACAATTATTTAAGGGACCAAGGGAAACCTACATAGCAAGTTTCAGCTTCTCAAAAAATAGCGATAACAAACTTCAACTCTAAAAATCAAAGATGGCCGTCTGTCGGCCATCTTTTTCCCTGATCAGTCCCAAAATGTACTATGCACAACTAGGTACCAAGGAGAAAGATCCCTTCAGTACTTTCTAAGAAATAACGTTAACAACAATTGTTTAAGGACAGATGGATGGAACAAGGACGACAGGTGATTTAAATAGCACACCATCTGATGATGGTGGGCTAAAAATAGGCAAAATTTCAATAATAATAGCAACACCCACCCATAAATTCAAATTAGGTGACCCTCATGGGATAGCCAATTTTAATATTTTATCAGATCTATCAAAATGTTCTGTCCCACTCATGAAATATAAACGACACTTAATGACAAAACATTAAAAGATTCTTCCGACCCAACCCAACCCAACACCAAAAGCTTCCGCTTGGTCACAGAACAGTTTTTACCTGGTGTTTGCAGGAGATCAACTAACTGCTTCTTTACATCGGTAAACACGAAACTCTGTATTGGTTGTCTTGTTTTTGTCTGTTGGTTAGCCAGTGCTCCTTTATACCTTAGTCCACCACAGTTTATTGTTTCGCATACAACAATGTCTTTATCCTCTGGAAACATTTTGTTGCACTGAATACAGTAGTGTATCTCCTAAGCCGGGGACGTGTCAACGTATGACAACATTTCATTTAGGTCCAAAGAACAAACATCTTTATAATCTGGAAATGTTTTTTTCAAAGTTTCAACTATATCTTTGCACGAGCTTGCAGAAAGCTTATTCCTCAAAAAGCAAGAAAGCACAGAAAGGGATTGAAATTCATTTTTCTGGCTATTTATACTGGCTTCAGTGGCTGGATCTGAATTCTCAATGTCTTCTTGATCCGAGTCATTTTCTGAACTTAAAAACATCAACAGATTCCGTATCGGAATAACAATCTGAGCTAGAGCTTGATGAAGTTACAGATGGTGAAAAGTTGCTTCTATTAGAAGATTCACTGTCGCTGCACTGAATATTAATGTCTAAACTCTTCACTGAACTGTCTGAACTATAAAGTGCACCTTCCTCTACACAGTTGCAAGCTCCCATGGGACTAGAAGGC